TTTCCCGAATCAAAAGTCGGTCCCGGATCCGTCCAAACCTCCCTTAAAATTTATTAAATGTTGCGCCCCTGCACACGGCGTATGTCAAAATTTAAGTTAGACATTACTGAATGCAATGCACCTTGCTTAAGTGTAATGCTAATAGTTCTTTTAGTTCGTAAATTAAACTAAATAAAACAGGAGAACTTTTTTTAGGCCACCCACGGTATAATACATCATAAAGGCTGTTTCAGTTGAGAGATTTTAATACGTCGGCGCATATACACACGGAAAAAATTAAATCTTTCTAAATTTTATATCAGAACTGTTTACTTCATCAAATGTACATTAAATCATAAATAAAACTGAATGATGTCCTTTTATTCATTTAGGCTACTTATTTCATGAATAACATTTGAATGGTTTTAAAAACATTTCCATGCGTATACGTACGTACGAAAAACGCTTAAAATTGCCGTCGAAAATGAGTTCAATTTCCAGTAAAATATTATTTATCAGCTGCGGTTATGCCTTAGGCGTTGAGAATGACGATGGCTACACTTTGACATAGTCACCAAAGTATTTTATTTTCAATTCAGCAAAGTGTTGACGAGATGAAACAGCAGTTTGAAAATATGATGATAATGGTTCAGCAAGCATTGCAAGGAAGCGATGTCAACAACAATGCTGCTCAAGCTATAAATCCAGCAGTTCCAGACAACAACCAAGATATTATTATTCTTGGCGGTCAGTGTGCCGCAGGGCCTGGCAATATGTCGAATACAGTTGAAAAATACAGCATAGCAGAACGCAAGTCAACTCAACTACCAGGAATGAATCTCGCTCGAGCAGACTCAGCATCATGTGTTTACAACGGTGATGTCATCGTTGCCGGAGGTTGGGATGGTCAAGCTGCTACTGACTCGATCGAGATTTTAAAGATGAACCAGCATCCTTTGCGATGGACGATGTTTGATGGTAAACTGCCTGTCAAGTTAAGTGGTCATGACATCATAGTTTACCAAGATAAATTGTATATCATAGGAGGAGATAACTGGAATAAAATGAAACCATCCGATGCAATTTATGAACTATCCCTTGCCCCGCCTTATACTGCCAAGCTTCTCGCAAAAATGCCTCAGCCAAGAAAATACCACGGAGCGGAGATTGTTAACGGAAAGCTATTTATCTTTGGAGGAACGACAACAGGCGCTGCTAAAGATGCCACTGATACGGTAGTTGTCTATGATTTCATCACGAATAACGTCACGCCATGTCCATTGTTACCAAAGCGTGTCTCAGAAATGTCCACAGTTACTTGGGGTAACACGGTCATTCTTGTCGGCGGGCTGGATAAGAATGGCCAGGTTTTAAATGACGTCTTCATGTATTCCTCTGAGTCAGGGCTAAGTGAAAGATTACCTTCACTGAAACACAAGAGGCGTGGTGCCTCAGCTGTCATCATGCATGACGTCATTGTTGTATTGGGCGGACGAAATGACAAGGAATATCTCAACTCAGTAGAAAGTTTCACAATGAGAGATGATCAGTGGAAAGAACTGCCAGGAATGAAAGAGAAAAGATATTACGCAAATGCTGTAGTGAAACCTCGCAACTAGTTTTAAAGATACGTTTTACAATATACACATTTCACATAAAAATTTTCGAGGTTTTATAATCATATGAATAAAAACCTTAATATTGTAATCTTTGCCTTTTATAACTGAACAAAGTATTGTGGAATGTAAATATAGTGTATATATAGTAACATAAACTGTGGGAAGTATGGTATGTAAATATTTAATAAAACTCAAGATAACTTGTATGTAGATTTGCATGGCATCAATATAATTTTCAAAATCTCATACGAACAGTGATGAAGACATTGACAGAAGACTATCAGTGCGTTACAGTGCAGTAGATGCTCGTCAACTTCACAAATGTTCATACTTATAGCAGAAATAAATTAAACTACGTCTCTTAATTCTATTCATTCGTCTCAAAAACACAGTTTCATTCAATGAAAACAACTCAAATTATTTTCTCATTCTGATAACTGCAGGTTGATCATCATCTGATGCACGATAGTGTTTAGTCAAATTCCGAGTAGACATGGAACATTGAATCTAAGAGATGAATCTTGATCCTAAGATTATTAAAACTGGTCTCGTAGAGTCAATAATCTGTTGGCAGTTTTAAAATAATGTCTGGATCACGCAATGGACCATTGAAATCATGCATGACTTGTATTAATAGGTTTACCCCTTACTTTAAACACCATAACATTCGTTCTACTAGACAAATTTTAATAATCTTAGTGTCAAAATTCATTTCTATCCTCACTAATAATTAGCTGTTTAAAAATCCGCAGCATTGGTACCGATATTAAGACTAATCTATGAAAATTCATAAATGAACTTCCAAAATAAGAACTGTGATTGTTATATGACGAACTATTGAACTTGACAATTTGCATGTTATGTTAATATATAGTTTGGATTAGATATAATTGTATTAGAAGTTATTTTTAACTATTTTTTAGAAATATTCTGATTTTCATTATGTATACTTATGAAAACGTTTTGTATACTTTCAAAAAAAATCTAATTCCACGATAATTCATATTGCTATTCTGTTGAGTTGTTTCTTCATATTTTGATTATATTGTTGGGCTGTGGTGAGTGTTATAAGATGCAGGATAGCTGTGGATAGAGAGGGATACAACTAGCTGACAAATACAAGCAGAATTTCGATGTTTCGAGGGAAGGTCCTTCGTTGTGAAGTTAGTTTGGTTCCAAACGTCCAAGTTCTATTTTTCACGTCGTTGTATCTCACAGTAAATACTAAACTACGACATATTATCAAAATAATTCCACACATTATTTCCTCACTTTAATTACTGTTGCTTGACCACCATGTGCCTTTCCTTTGTGAAATCTTTTTACAATCATCAGGAAGAGAATCAATCCTGGGGAGACGTACCCCCACTTTTTGGGGGGGGAACCCCCTCCTACCTTCTCCCCCAAGAAAATTAAAATTGATAATTTTTTTAGAAAATCGATCTTTCCAATGAGTAACAGCCTCGGAAAGCACCCTATGAGCAGCAGCCCTGTTTCAGTTGATAGTTTTTTTAAACAAAAATATAACTGTAAATCAGAAACATTCAAACATTTCATGAAGAATGACTTTAAAACTAAAATCACAGTCAATTTCCTAAGAATCTATTGATGTTTTTCTTCGCTCGCAACAAATTGCTTGTAATGTACAGCAAACCATATCAACCCAAGCGACCAGAGAAACATTAAGACAAAACAATAAATGATCAAACTTTCTTTTGTGTTCACGAAACTGACAGCGACACGGCTGTTCAGGATCCCCAATTGCAATGCTGCGTAGGACACGCCTTGATAGAACGACGCGTTGCGCGCGTCAGTGATCTTCGACAAAATGGAATTACTCAGCGGATAAGCGAAGTAAGGCATGCCAAGACATATGTACAGCAATAACATGTAGTTTTGAGCACTTGTGATGTGATTCCGGGTGAATCCAATCAATGTTAGCACCAAGATGGCGGCAATTTGCATCGACAAAGCAACCAGGAATAGTTTGCGTTCATCAAAATAGTCCGAAGCGAGCGAAAATAGAATGAAAACAAGCAAAGTGAATACAGTGCAGTTCAGGAAGAGTAATTTGACGTGGATTAGTTCAAGATGAAAATGGTTTAATACCAGAACGGAGACATAACACTCTGATAACTGCAGGTTGACCACCATCAGCTGCACGATAGTATTTAGTAAAATTCAGAGAAATATAATATGGAAGTATCAACCATGAAACTGTATTGTCATAGGATAATGGAACATAGTACCACAGACAACAGCAACGTAGCCAATCATGTAAGGTATTTGAGAACCTTTATTTCTGATACACAACTGAAACACTGTCTACAGCGACTCTATTGAAATCGCTAGTGTATGAATTTGCATTCATTAGCGGCGCCATATAGAGTTATAGAGCTATTACTTCTCTTGCTTATAAACTGACCCGTCCGTCAAATTACTACACTGCGTGTCTTTCAGGGGTATTTTCCTCCAGGATATTTTTCCCCGAGGAACTTTTGTTCAGGGATAATTTTCTGTGGGGTTTTTACCCGGGATTTTTCCCCCGATGTCTGTTTTTCTTTCACTGACTTCGTGTTTGTTCACATGACTGAAGGCCGTAAATCATTCGCAGTTAAAAATGTTCCAGCACGAAACTCACTTCCATTGAAGTTAAGACAGTTACAAGGACACTAATGTTTTTAGGAGAAACCCATCCATACCCCTCACCATAACCCAAATCCTAGGCATTTGTAAAACCACAACCCTAATCCATATTATAATTCTAATCCTGTTTACGTCATAATACACTTTATTTAATCTCGAATTTACAGAGTAGCTCCAACGAGCTTAGTATCTTCGGGCATTAATATAGTATTTATATATATTATAATCTATCTAGACTATCTACTTTAAGTTTTAAATTGATTAAAGTCTAATATATTGTCCTACAATTGTCATTGACAGAGTTCCAACTTTCAGCCGCTAGCTAAATATTCAATTGACTCTAAGTATTAAATCCATATTTGATCGTTCTAGGTTTGGCTAAAGTCAATATATTTTCACCTCTTAATTTAACAAATATTTACAACTTCTGACGTTAAACAGCCCTTCAAGTCCTTGTGACGTTGCCCCATTTCTCCGTATACTATTACATGGAAATAAATATCGCTTCCACGAAATGACGTAATATATCTGAGCAAGGAAAAATTCTCCTTATATTTTTCAGGTACATGAAATGCCATATTTTGAACTTTTCAAGCTATATAAACGCATTAAAATGATTAAAATGTAACTTCTATATTCATAATAACAACTTATGTGTAGAATTGTCATTTCTGTGAAATATATCAACATATTTTGAAAATTGCGTAATTCCAAGACAGGAAGTTAGAAAGCTAATTGAGATCACAGCTTGATCACCAGACCGCAACCAGACGCCAGATGTTTTGTAATATATTCAGATAAAAAGGCATTAATATTTTACAGTACGAACGACCTTGTCTACAGTCTGAGAAACAGTGTTGCTGAGAAAATTTCTGGTAAGTTTGTTCATGTTTCTACATTACATTCACACGAGAGCTGACGGATCGCAACTGGACGCAAATAAGTCGCATTTCATTTGTTCACACGGGGATTCGTGTGGTTATCTGTGATCAAATTATCTGGTTTCAAACCTCGCGTGTAAACAAGAAGCGAGATTGTTAACATTTGAGTACAAATTTGAGTATGGTACAGAACTCCTCCTGTCTGACACTCAAATTTTTGCGATTTCGTCTAGCGCGCATTCATGGAACGCAAGAAACCAGATGTACTAGAGCACAGCTGTAGTGTAGGAATTCCCGTGTGGACAAATGAAGGAGAACAATTGATGTGATATAATCTTGAAGTGTGTATGCCAGTGTAGGTAGTGCCAATAATATGAACAAGCTTTCGTTGCTAGGGATGCAACTACCTGAAAAATATAAGGAGAATTTCGACGTTTCAAGTGAAGGCCCTTCGTCTGGAGTTACTGGATGAAGGATCTTCGCTCGAAACGTCGAAATTCTCCTTATATTATATACGTATATGAACAATTGATGTACAATTCCAAATTCACTTGGTCTCGCGTGAACAGGGTCTCCTGCGCAAATATTTCCATTGTAAGTTCTTAGCAAGCCCTAAAGCCTGCCGCACACGAGAGCTATCTGCTGAGCAAAAAGTTACTCGTGCCTGTTAGCTCAGCCGATAGCTCACCGATCAAACATGTTTGATACGTGAGAAAAGGTTGCATGAGGCAAAAAACTCAGTAAAATGTACCCGCACACGGTGAGCTATCGGCTGAGCTAACAGGCACGAGTAACTTTTTGCTCAGCAGATAGCTCTCGTGTGCGGCAGGCTTAACGAGTTGCTTTGAGTGATAGTCATTACACTCTGGCATAAAATATTCTATTGACCAATTCCGCGTCTCGAGTATAAAACGCTTATATACAGCTATGTTTCATGTTTTGCGTTGAAATAAAGGAAAAGAAATGTTGCCTTATTCGATCTTAATGAACATTAGATCTATATATTTTGGTATTCGTGGTAATGTAGACTTTTCATATTCATTGCTTGTTTAAACATGTAATGCGCATGTGCAGTTAGGGATGGGCCACAGAATAACATCGCGAATAAATTGTGTTCATTTCTGAAATTCTGACCTGCAATAACTTTATTATGTCAGATCGAGTGTAAAATATAGGATACACTAGAAATACATTACTGCAAACCCCTATAGCTTGCCCAAATTCCTGAGAGTTTAAATCTCGTGTGCTCAATGCTTATAAAGAATAAGAACTCATCATCAATCTCTGTAAACTTGATAGCTTAACAGGTAGAGCAGTGGACTGATTCCTGAAGATTGAGAGTTTAAATCTCGTGTACTTATAAAGGATAAGAACTCATCACCATGCAATCTCTGTAGACTTGGTAACTAAACAAGGTTGAGAGGTTCCTTAGTGTTAATTTTTCATTATGATTTACAGATAAATTTTCCAAGAAAATTTACGATCTCCCTTGACACTAAAGAAGACAGTAATTTCCCTGGTCATTGAACATTGAAAGGAAATGCTTATCTGGGTTCTGCCTTACAGGTAAATAGCTTTATGCGCAGGTTTTTACGCATACATGCTCTAACGCAATTTTGACCAGATTAACTCTTTATATTTCTATACAATGTAAGTTAGATATCGAAATAAAATTTCTGGTGTACTTAAAGCGTACATATAACAACTTGTCTCTGCGCTGAACTATACAGTTTTTAATTTCATGTTATTCAACTCGCCACCAATTTTTAGACTACATAGAATGCATATATTTGTTTGATCAAGACCAACTGCAATAAATAAATAAATACATTTATAGATGCTTGATAAGAAAATGTATAGGATTTCTAGAAATTTTGTAGAGAAAAACATACATGTGACCAGTAGGAGACTTTGTGATTGGTATGAAAGAGAATATAAAAGAATGTCATTCAATATCACAACAATCTTATGGTAATATTCTATCCTAATGATTCGTTATTATTTGCAGGTATATATATATAGCCTGGTTCACATTGATCGTAAACATCGGCGATGCTCATTGTCGGTGGTCATTGATGCATAAAATGTTTTGTGCATTTTCTTCTTCGTTGCTCACAGACAATGGATCGTAGAACATCGCCGATCAATGTGAACCAGGCTTATGTTTGGAGAAAAGTTTTTGACATTTCTGAGAAACTAATTGTTAAGATATAATTACTGGATTCTATCATTAGGTAAATAATTATTACATTACTTAATCTGTTCTATGCAGAGGCGAAGCTACAACCTGGTCAAAAATACTGAATTTGTGCTGAATTTGACACCCACCATAATAAAAAGCATACCTACCCCCCCCCCCCAAAAACCCACCCAGTGTTGTCTGTAGTGTAATATTCACAACGAGGATCTGAACATGTAATTGTAAATGCAATGAACATATATGCACATGCATGTGAATAAAAAATGTGCAGCAGGAAGTTGCTATTTTTACTAAGTGTGCCAATGTTTTTCGACCAGGATTGTATCCATGGCAACTGGTCATGCTATGCTGATCAACGTGAATTTAGACTTTTTCAGCCCCTTAACCACAAATTTCAGCCCCTTAACTTAAAATATCTTTCTACGCTACTGTACATTCCGTTGGGATAAAAGGCATTTGCATAAAAATCTGAAACTTTGGCCTCCATCATTGACCCTGCGGTCAATACAAGAGTTTGTGTAAGATTTTTCGACAGCCACTGATTCTGAACAGAAAAACATTCACTTCCCAACGTCTCAAGAAGAGTTTTCTTCAGAAGAGTTCCAGGAAGCTAGATTTAAATAAATAAACCAATCAAAGAAACGTAACCGTAGCAAAATCAAAACAATAACCGAACATGTAGATGTCAACCCGCATTTAAGGAGGGATGCCTTGACGCAGGCTAAGCTATAAACCAAATTACGAAATTACGAAAGACGCTATTTAATGATAGAATGAATGAAAAAATATGTGGTGATGAATTTATCAGATGTACATAAAGGCAATGACAGATTACGAGCTGTAGATGAAAGAAAATCGTAAAATTAATAACACCACGTGCATGAGTAGCACACAGTTTGAATATGAGATATATTTCCTGTTTATTGCAAAGTAATGGACTGAATACCAGAAACTTTCATTTCAGAGAAGTAGTGATTGGCTCTATATTGAAGAGCCTGGCAATAAGTTTGTTGTGCATCTTAATCTTGATTATTGTAGAAAAACGTTGATGGATGTTACGATTGTTTCGGTTTTCAAACCCAAATACGCAACAGATCGTAAATATGGGCATTAGTACCATGTAGATGGTCAAAATATACAAGTTCGTGTTCCACTTTTGCCTCGTTTCAGTCTATTTTTAAAAAGCGTAAAGAATTATCTTTTGAATTGTTCACATGGTCCTCCACATACACTTGTCTTTGTTCCGGTTTTTAACCTTAAAGTTTGACATTTCTGATCGTAGAATGAAGATCTTATTTCATACTCGCATGGGACTTTGAGTCCCGTTCGCACTCTACCGCTTGGACATTGTCCAATAAATTGATTTAAATAAATAAATAAGGATAAGAACTCATCGCCAATCTCTGTAGACTTGATAGCTCAACAGGTAGAGCAGTGGACTAGATTCCTGAAGGTTGAGAGTTTAAATCTCGTGTACTTATAAAGGATAAGAACTCATCATCAATCTCTGTAGACTTGATAGTGTAAATTTATATATTGTCTTCCCCGAACACATGTACAATAACAATAGTCTTAGTCTTTCAGTTAATTATTACCCCCGAAGGTCCATGCCTAATAGCCTGCAAACAGGCTTGCTATTTACGAGTATCGTTTCAATGTAACTAATAAATGTCAATATCACACCACTCCCCCCTTTAAAAGTATTATGTGTATTTTTCTGGAGGTCTTCGAATTCTTTCTGGATATCTTCTCTCTGGTTGCATTTCCTCTTCTCTGCTGTCAGATTCACTGTCCTCACTGGTACCCAGTGCTGGGTGTCCGACCCCACTCTTCTTTGGTGGATTCCTTGACTTTGGTTTCTTGACAGGTCGAATCTGATAAGGTTTAAGGTAATTGTAATGGACAATTTCTTCTTTAGTTCCATTATTCCTTCTCACCACATAAGATGTTTTGGTTACCGACGTGGGCTTTACCACGACATAGGGTCCCGTCCACCGATCTGCAAATGTTTTTGCTCGTAAATTTCTTTTCCAAACTTGTTGACCCACCCCCAACGATTTAAACGAAGTTTTACTGTTGTACCGTTCTCTGCGTTTTTCCGCTAACTTGGCATCGGACTCTTGTGCTTTTTGGAATACCTCACTAACAGTCTCGCGCAGTCGTTCCGTTTTCTCTCTAAACGTTGCTGGTGATATCTTCTCTGTTATAATTTCGAATTTTGATCGCGGGTGCTCCTTGAAAACTAGTTCGTACGGCGAAACTCCTGTACTTGTATGAACTGCTGTGTTGTATGCTAGTTGTACGTCAGGTAGGTGTTGAGACCATCGGTTGGGATGTTTATCTGCCAATTTTGTGAGTGCTTCCCCCATCGTACGATTAATCCGTTCTACACCCGCGTTTCCTTGTGGCCTATAGGGTGGACTGAAAGTATGCTCAATGCCTTGGGTTATGCAAAACTGTTCAAATGTTTCGCTTATGAAACAAGGTCCATTGTCAGAGTGCACTTTGTTTGGTAAACCATATCTTGATATCCAACCCATGAGTGTCTTACAAACAACTTGGCTGGTTTGTCTTCGAATTGGATGCATCTCTGCATATTTTGTACATGGATCTGTTATCACAACAATATTGTCAAATCCCTCTTTCGTTCTCGGTAATGGACCCTTGAGATCTACTTCTATCAACGCAAATGGTTTCTCTTCTTTTGGTCGTTGATGAATGGGTGCTTTTCTATGTCCCTGGGCAAGAGTAGCAGCACAGCGTTGGCACGTTTTTGCATAGTTCTCTACTTCTGCTTTCATCTTTGGCCAAATAATGAGGTTCAATTCTTGCAAGCATTTTATCTGCTCCTTGGTGCCCTGTTTCGTCATGAGCTAATGATAATATGGTGGGAACAAGCGATGCTGGAAGTAACACTTGCTTCTTATGATCTCGTGTGAATAAACCATGTTCGTTTCGGTGAGTAGAAATATGTGGCTTAAGGGTTGGGTCACGTTCTTGCTGCAGTTGGAAATCATTTATGTCCAACCTTACATCCTTGCATGGACCAATCTCGTCTTGAGAGCCACCAATAGTAGC